CAAGATTATATCATGATAATCCTCTGCCTTGCTTGGTTGGGGGAGATTTCAACATTATCAGAAGTGGAAAAGAGAAGAACAAACCTATGCTTAATGAGCAATGGTCCTTCATGTTCAATGCCATTATTGAACAAGCGGGACTTAGGGAATTACCATTGAATGGGAGAAAATACACTTGGGGTAATAATCAGGAGAACCCTACTTTCGAAAAACTAGATAGAGTGCTGATGTGCCCTGCTTGGGAGGAGAAATACCCACTCACCATATTGCAAGCATTTGCTAGAGAAATCTCTGATCACACTCCTCTGTTCCTGGACACAGGGGAAACTCATACTCACAAATATATTTTTAGATATGAAAATGCTTGGTTGCTGAGAGAAGGTTTTAGAGAGCTGATATATAACACATGGAATGAGAGATACTTTGGGGATGTTTTGGATAGATGGCAATCAAGGTTGAGGAAATTGAGGCAAAAAGCTAAAGGATGGAATAGGAATATTGATGCTTGGTACAGGAAAATAAAAATGGGAATAATAAAGGAGCTTGATGATTTAGATAAGAGAGTTGAGGTCATGGGTTTAAATGCGGTGGATAGAAGTGAGCAGAAAGAGCTTAGAGCCCAATTAAAAAGAGTAATGATACAAGAGGAGATGAAATGGTTGCAAAGATATAAAGATTCGGAGATTAAGGATGGAGATAGAAATACTAGATATTATCATGCCAAGGTGAATGGGAGAAGAAGGAAAAACAAAATTGTTTCCCTTGAACAGGAGGAAGGGATTATAGAAGGGGATGAGAGGTTGATGGAATATATCACCAAATTCTATAAAGAATTATTTGGACATCCTGAAGAATCTAGTATCTCATTGAGGGAGATGGAGATGGATAAGATCAATGAACAAGAAAGAGAGGAGCTCTTGACACCTTTCTCCTTAAATGAAATTCATCAAGTGGTGTTTGGGATGAAAAGAAATAAAAGTCCTGGCCCTGATGGATTCCCTGCAGGCTTTTACCAAGATTTTTGGGAAGTGGTCAAGTGGGATCTAAAAAATCTAGTGGATGGTTTTGCTAAAGGAGAAATTAATATTGCTAGACTCAACTATGGCATAATTACCTTAATCCCAAAAACTAATGATGCTAAACAAATTCAGAAGTTTAGGCCCATTTGCCTGCTGAATGTTAGTTTTAAAATCATCACTAAGATTCTGATGAACAGGCTGGCTAAGTGTGTGGCCCCTGTGATTTCTAAAACCCAAACTGCCTTTATCAAGGGCAGATATATTATGGAAGGGGTTGTGATTTTGCATGAGGCAATGCATTCCTTTCATAAAAATAAGGAAGATGCCTTGGTTTTTAAAGTGGATTTTGAGAAGGCATATGACAAAATTAAGTGGCCCTTTGTTATACAGATGTTAAAGATGAAGGGGTTTCCTGACAAATGGTGTGATTGGGTGATGGAAACTATGAGAGGGGGACATGTTGGGATTAAAGTGAATGATGAAATTGGCCCATATTTCAAAACCTTTAAAGGATTGAGGCAAGGAGATGCCATGTCACCTTTGCTGTTTGACATTGCTGCTGATGCCCTAGCCTGCATAATGAGTAATGCCTTGAAACATGACCTGGTTAAAGGAGTGTTAAACAGTGATAGGGGGAAGGGGATTAATATGTTACAATATGCTGATGATACCATATTCTTGATAAAGGATGAGATAGAAAGTGTGAAGAATCTTAAACTCATACTAGGAGCTTTTGAGCAAATGTCTGGGCTTAAGATAAACTTTCACAAAAGTGAATTGTTGTTGTTTGGCAAAGTCAGAGAAAAACAAATGATTTACCAAGAAATACTAACATGTAAGATGGGAGATTTGCCCATAAAATACCTGGGGATGCCTGTATCCGAAAATAGAATCAGGAATTCTCAATGGGATTGTGTAACTGATAAAATTGAAAAAAGATGTGGGTGCTGGCAGGGGAAGTTGCTGGGCTCCATTGCAGGGAGAATAACCTTGGTGCAAGCCTGCCTGACTAATATTCCTTTGTTTATGATGTCCTTTTATGTTGTACCTAAGGGGATTATAAAGAAAACTGATTTCTTCAGATCCAGGTTGGTATGGCAAGATGATGAGAATGTCAAAAAATACCATCTAGTGAATTGGAGAGATTGTTGTCTTCCTAAAGAAATGGGGGGATTGGGGATACTAAATCTGGAAATTATGAATATAGCGCTTTTGGCCAAATGGTTTTGGAAAATGGAAAACGAAAAGGGTCTGTGGCAGGATATTTTGGGAGACAAATATAGAAAGGGGGGATGCTTGGCTTTAATATGTAAAAAGCCAGGGGATTCACAATTCTGGGCTAGCTTGCTAAAAATCAAGGAAATCTTTTACAAATTTGTTAAGAAAAAAGTGGGGGATGGAAGAAATACTAGATTTTGGGAAGACACATGGGTTGATGATAAACCTTTGAGGGAGGCCTACCCTAGACTGTATGATATATCCTTTGGCCATAACATTACTGTGGAGGAGGCCATACAGAAAGGTTGGCATGAATTTAGATTTAGAAGAACCCTACTTGGAGAGACTGTAGAGCTTTGGAACAGTCTCAAAAAAAGATGTGAGGAAATTCAAATGCTGGGAGGGGAGGATAAAATCCTCTGGACCCTCACCGGGGATCATAAATTTTCTGTGGGATCCCTGTATAGGAAATTGGTAGCTTCTGGGTTGAAATTCCCACAGAAATACTTATGGAAGCTTAAAGTGCCTGCTAAACTGAAAGTGTTCCTATGGTTGATTAATAAAAAAAGCGTATTAATTAGAGATGTACTGCTTAAAAAGGGATGGAAGGGCGAGAAAAGATGTGTCTTGTGTGGGAAAGATGAATCAATTGATCATCTATTCTTCTCTTGCTCGGTTGCTTCTTTGTTGTGGAGTTTGGTTAGGTGTGTGTGTGGTTTTAAAACTGTGCCGTCTAGTGTGAAAGATTGTTTTGGAGACTGGATTAGGAAATTTAACAAAGATGATAAGCAACTGGTGCTGGTGGGGATTTCAGCCCTGCTTTGGTCAATTTGGAAAAGTAGAAATGCAATTATCTTTGAAAATAAAAGGATAAATGATCCTTTATATGTTGTCAAGCTAATGTGCAGGTGGTTAATTGACTGGTCTATTATGCAGATAAAGGAGCCACCAAGAAAAGCGTTGGAGCTGGGAGCAAGGGTGCTAGAGCAGGCAGCAAATGAAGTGTTCACAGCCAAGCAGGGTTGGAGGATCAACGTGGCTAGATTGAAATGAATGAATGAAGAAAGTCTCTCCTGCGGTGGTGAACCTGATGTTTGGTGCTCCTGTAGAATAGATCTTTGGCTCCTTTTTTGCTGCTTTTGCTTCTGCGTTGATGTAATGACCCTTTGTTGGTCGATGGGGGTGCTGTTTGATCCTTGTTGAACCCGGTTGGACCTCTTCGATTTTTCGTTTTCTTTTGAACTCTTTTGTAGAACTTGGTGGTTTTCGGTAATGAAAATCGGAAGGGGCAAGCCCTTCTTTGATCAAAAAAAAAGTTAATAAAAGTGTGTGATTGTTTTCACATCGCAACCGTCGCTCTGTTGCAGAGCGTGTACGATCGGTCCATACAACACACACTTTTGAAAAATGTTCACGATTTTCAAAAACTTTTCACATTCTGAAAATTGTTCGTAATTTAAAAAAATGGTATCCCTGAATTTCTGAATTTTTCATGCTATCCATGTTCTTTTTATTCTAAAAGTTGCCATATTAATTATTGTACATGTCATCAGGATTTTTATATACTTTTTACGTATGGTTGCCATGATTTATTCAACACTTTTTCTAAAGTTTCCATAATTTTTTAGAAAGCAACCGTCTGCATCTGCATGCATCGACCAACACCTCCTCGTCTGCACCTGCCCGCCGTCGCCACCTCCCCCTGCCCTCCTCCTCCTCCTCGTCTGGGCCGCTGTCGACCATGTCAGTTTACAGCTGCTGTCCAAGTTTTAAGAAACAAATACAGTTTCGTCGTCAGTTGTAGGCGTAAGCAGCTGTCAGAATTCAGTTTCGTCAGACAATACAATACAATACAGTTTTCTTCAGCTTGGAGCAGAGAATTCTTCACTTGATCCCACAATCCAGCCAGCCAGGAGCACAGCCCATATATAATGGAATGTACAAAACCATAGAGATATGATCCAAACTTATCTGAAGAAAGTAAACTCGCATGACGATGATCCGGGAAGGAAGGAACTCAGGTAAGCTCCTCCTCTCCTCTGTTTGAGAAAAACCATCTAGTGATGAGTTACGACTGATCATCTGCAGAAGAAACCTATTGGTGGCGTTCAGTTTCAGTTTCAGTTTCAGTTTTAGGATCCTGGGTCTGAACTGAACTGGGTTCCCTGTAGATAAACATGTCAACAACCAGGCTATAGATATAGATATGCTGGGTCTAAGTGTCTGTATTTACATGCATGTAACAGATGAGATCACCATATCCACATCATATATGATCCACATAACATCAATCAGTTGCTCTTGGGAACAGCAAACTGATAATTCAAAAAGGACCCTAAAATCAATTCGAAGCAGCCTCATGCATGCATGCATGCTTCAATTCAACCTCAACTGATGCAAACTTGTTCATGGGGACAGTAACTGAGGAGCATCATATATATATTTTGTAGTGCTACGTACATTTGCAATCATGCGTTCATTCATCCATCCATTTATACTAAGTCCTTTTTGCTTCTTTCCATCTGTCTGTGTCCCTTTTTCATCTCTATCCATGGCATGCCAGTGTTACTCACAAGAAGAAGAGACTCTTTTTGGCCGAATA